AGAGGGCCCGGGCGGGGAACTTCCGCGGCACGGCGCGCAGCGGCGTGGACTGCCCTCACTGGCGGCTTTGGCTCCGCCCGGGACATCCGGCCCCGACACGTGGGCGGACGGGGCGGTCCTGAGCCTGCGACTCGCAGGACTCTAAGTCCAGGCCACAGTCGGGCGGGCGGCTGTGGAGGGAGGCGTGACTTCAGCGACAGAGAAAGTGAGGTGGTCCCCGTGGGAGGGATAGAGAAGACGGGCTCCGTGGGCTTGAAAGCTTGGGCAATTGGGAGGCGTTGGGTTTTTGCTGTGTTGTTTGAGGGATTGGGGGGAGACAAGTCTCGGTTTCAAACCTCGCTGGGCTACGTTGAGCTGTCCTCGAACTTCTTCTTGAGCTCTCTCGGTTTCTCCTCTGTTAAGGGGGTGGGCATTCTGAGCACAAACTTCATGGGGCTCTTTGGGGATTAAATAAGAAATGGTCTGAAACAGACAGCCAAAAGTTGAAACAGAATGGGTGCTCGCTTAATGGGAAATTGACCTCGGCTCACTGCAAGCTCCACCTCCTGGGTTCACGCCATTCTCCTGCCTCAGCCTCCTAAGTAGGTGGGACTAAGGCCCCCGCCACCGTGCCCAGCTAACTTTTTGTACTTTTAGTAGAGATGGAGTTTCACATCTGCCTCCCGGGTTCAAGGGATTCTCCTGCCTCAGCCTCCCAAGTAGCTGGGACTACATGCCTGCGCCACCACGCCTGGCTATTTTTTGTATTTTTACTAGAGACAGGGTTTCACCAAGTTGAGCAGGATGATTTCGATCTCTTGTCCTCAGGGGATCTGCCCGCCTCGGCCTCCCAAAGTGCTGCGTTTACAGGCGTGAGCCACCGTGCCTGGCCTAGACTGGCTTACTTTACATTGAACCCGTACAGAAGTCTTGTGATGGATGCCAGGTCCCACTAGCAATGCAGAAATAGGTTTCACTGGCCAGATGCAGTGGCTCATGCCTGTAATCCTAACACTTTGGAAGGCTGAGGCGGGCGGACTGCCTGAGCTCAGGAGTTCAAGACCCAGCATGGGCAACATGGCAAAATCCCGTCTCTACTGAAAATACAAAAAAATTAGCCAGGTGTGGTGGCATGTGCCTATAGTCAGGAGGCTGATTCTAGAGAATCACCTGAACCCAGGGGATGGAGGTTGCAGTGAGCCGAGATCACGCCACTGCATTCCAGCCTGGACGACAGAGCGAGACTCTCTCAAAAGAATAAAGAAACATGTTCCACTAATACAGTTTGCCTTAGACGACAGAGCTTGGAGGTGCATGAGTTGAGACTCAAGAACTGGAAATTTGTGCTTCCTGAGCACAAGGCAGATTCCATGTAGAAGCTGGAGGCTGAAGGTAGCAGCTGGGTGTGATCTTAAGCCCAGTTGAAGCCCTGACCTGGCCTCCCCCTCAGACTGGCACTTGGTAAAGGGATCACTCTTTTCATGGCAGGAACACTTGGGACCTCACTTTGGAAGTCATCAACTTGGTGGCCTGTCTGGGCCAAACCATCTTCAGAACACAACCTGCTCCTGCTCCCTTTCAACCCCATGTCTACCTGACACGCCTTGGCAAGGGGCAGTTGGCCTCCCAGAGACTGCCAGGATTACAGTCAAGAGCTAGCAGCCCCAGCCCTGGTTGGGCAACTGAAGCCTCCTAGAGCCCCACATGGACTGCCTAGGATCAAATGCTACCCCCACCCCTTCCCAGCTTCATTATCTTCAATATTTTCTCACCAGTGAAACAAAGATAATCATAATATCTATTTCGGAATTAGGGGATCACATGCCATGGGCTGCACCTGCTGCTGTAGCATAATAGCACCCCTTTTTGAGTTTCTACACTGTCCAAGGCTGGTTTTGAGGATTAAGTGCAGCTGGGAAGTGCCCACCTGGTGCCTTCTATAGGAAGCCTCCACAAATGCTTATTTTACTACTTGCTTCACTGACTGCTGAGGATGGAGACCTCTATGTGAGGCAGCTGACTCGGGCACAGCAGGGTCAGAACCAGTCATGGAAGTAAAGCAGTGCCACCACCATCTGCCTTCCTGGGTCCCTAGCTGTTGGGGAACTAACATAGCCCAGAGCAGTGGATGCTGACCGGGTGCACCGAAAGAACCCAAGTCTGGGACACCTCAGGCCAGAGTGCAGAGCTGCTCAGCGGGGCCCCTTCCCCTCCCTCGGCGTACGCGTTAAGACCTCATGAGGATGTTTATGATTTCTCCCTTTGGGCCAGGCGCACTGGCTCATGCCTGTAATCCCAGCACTTTGGGAGGCTGAGGCAGGCGGATCACGAGGTCAGGAGATCGAGACCATCCTGGCTAACACGGTGAAACCCCATCTCTACTAAAAATACAAAAACAAAATTAGCTGGGTGTGGTGGCAGGTGCCTTTAGTCTGAACCACTTGGGAGGCTGAGGCAGGAGAATGGCGTGAACCTGGGAGGCGGAGTTTGCAGTGAGCCGAGATCGCGCCACCGCACTCCAGCCTCGGCGACTGAGCAAGACTCCGCCTCAAAAAAAAAAAAAGAAAACAAAAAAAAGAAAGATTTAGCCAGCATTGGCTGGGCACGGTGGCTCACGCCTGTAATCCCAGAACTTTGGGAGCCCAACGCGGGCAGATCAAAAGGTCAAGAGATCGAGACCATCCTGGCCAACACGGTGAATTCCTGTCTCCACTAAAAAAAAATACAAAACATTAGCCGGGCCTGGTGGCAGGTGCCTGTAGTCCAGGTTACTCGGGAGGCTGAGGCAGGAGAATGATGTGAACCCAGGAGGCGGAGCATGCAGTGAGCAGAGATCATGCCACTGCTCTCCAGCCTGGGTGACAGAGCGAGACTCAAAAAAATTAGCCAGCATTGGGCCAGGCGCAGTGGTTCACCCTATAATCCAGCACTTTGGGAGGCCGAGGGGTGGATCACGAGGTCAGGAGTATCAGACCATCCTGGCTAAGGTCACATGGTGAAAACCCGTCTCTACTAAAAATACAAAAAAATTAGCCAGGCATAGTGCATAGTGGCGGGTGGCTGTAGTCCCAGCTACTTGGGAGGCTGAAGCAGGAGAATGGTGTGAACCTGGGAGGCGGAGCTTGCAGTGAGTGGAGATCATGCCACTGCTCTCCAGCCTGGGTGACAGAGTGACGCTCTCAAAAAAAAAAAAAAAAAAAATTAACCAGTATTAGGCCGGTGCAGTGGCTCACGCCTGTAATCACAGCACTTTGGGAGGCCGAGGGTGGCGGATCACAAGGTCAGGAGACGAGACCATCCTGGCTAAGGCTCACATGGTAAAACCCGTCTCTACTAAAACTACAAAAAATTAGCCAGGCATAGTGCATAGTGGCGGGTGGTGTAGTCCCAGCTACTTGGGAGGCTGAGCCAGGGAGAATGGCGTGAACCCGGGAGTTGGAGCTTGCAGTGAGCCAGGATCTCACCATTGCACTCCACCTGGGCACGCAGAGCGAGACTGCCTCTCAGAAAAAAAAAAAAAAAAAAAAAAAAGAATTAGCCAGCATTGGCTGGGCACAGTGGCTCACATCTGTAATCCCGCCCCTTTGGGAGGCCAAGGCAGGTGGATCACCTGAGGTCGGAGTTCAGACCACCCTTGACAAACCTTTGCCAACATGACAAACCTTGTCTCTACTAAAAATAACAAAAATTAGCCCAGCGTGGTGGCACGCACCTGTATCCCAGCTACTCTGAGGCTGGAGGCAGGAGAATCACTTGAACCAGGAGGCGCAGTTTGCAGTGAGCCAAGAACGAGTCACTGCACTCCAGCCTGGGCAACAGAGTGAGACTCCATCTCTTTTTTTTTTTTTTTTTTGAGCGGAGTCTTGCTTTGTTGCCCAGGCTGGAGTGCAGTGGCCGGATCAGCTCACTGAAAGCTCCGCCTCCCGGGTTTTGCCATTCTCCTGCCTCAGGTCACGAGTAGCTGGGACTACAGGTGCCGCCACCGCGCCCGGCTAGTTTTTTGTATTTTTTAGTAGAGACAGGGTTTCACCATGTTAGCCAGGATGGTCTCGATCTCCTGACACCGTGATCGCCCGTCTCGGCCTCCCAAAGTGCCAGATTACAGGCTTGAGCCACCGCGC